GAACATCAGATAAATTCTGGTAGAGTGGAATTCTATGATATTCCTAATTAGTACTCCTCAAAACTGCCAAGTTCATTAAAAACAAAGGAAGTCTGAGAACCTGTCACAGCCAACAGGAGTCTAAATAGATATGGTAACTAAATAATTAAATATAACATGGTATCCTGGATGGGATCCTGATGCAGAAAAAAGGATTTTAGGTAAAAACTAAGGAAATCTGAATGAACTATTAAAGTATATCAATTTTGGGGCGCCTGGGTGGCTCAGTTGGTTAAGCAACTGCCTTCGGCTCAGGTCATGATCCTGGAGTCCCGGGATCGAGTCCCGCATCGGACTCCCTGCTCAACGGGGAGTCTGCTTCTCCCTCTGATCCTCCCCCTCTCATGCTCTCTGTCTCCCATTCTCTCTCTCAGATAAATAAATAAAAAATCTTAAAAAAAAAAGTATATCAATTTTGGTTTATTAATTATAACATATGTACATACTAATGTACAGTGCTTATTATAGAGGTAATTGTGCAGGGGGTAGGAGGAGTAACAGGGGAACTTTGTACTATCTGCTCAATTCTTTTGTGAATTTAAAACTGTTCTAAAAAAATTAAGTTTATTAATAATAAAAGAATGAAAAAAAGGCAATAATTAAAAAAAAACACTCAGGCCAAACATTTTATAGTTAAAGTAATCCTTTGTTCTAAAAATTATTTCCAAGGTAGAGTCTGGGTGAGAACAATTAGTTGTTCAAATTCCTGTAAAGACTATAACAAAACAAAACAAAACACGTCCACTGATTAGAAGGAAAACTATAGGAAATTTACTGTGATTAGGTCACAGGTTTAGAACAGTAATTTCCTCTAATAGGATTTGTCAACGTGTTCCTGTAGGTACTGATTTAATTCAATTTAATACACATTTATTGAACACCTGCTATATGAATGGCCCTGGGTTTAGAATTGGGTAGTGGATATAAAAGCTGAGGAAGGGGTGCCTGGGTGGCTCAGTCGGCTAAGCGTCTGACTTGATTTCGGCTCAGGTCATGATCTCAGGGTAGTGAGATTGAGCCTCACATCAGGCTCTGCGCTGGGCATGGAGCCTGCTTAAGATTCTCTCATTCTCTCTCTCCCTTTCCCTCTGCTCCTCCCTGCTATGCATTCTCTTTGTCTTTAAAAAAAAAAAAAGCTGAGGAAGTCATGGCTCCTGAAACTAAAGAGGTTAGCATCCGGAAGACCATACAAACATGACATGAATACTCAAATACAAGGCTGGATGTAAGTGGGAATGCAAAACAGAGGGGAGAGGTCATTGCAAGAAAAGGCACAACACTGGACAAGTACAAGGCATTTATTTGCAAGAACTGATAGGTCAGTTTGGCTGGAGCATATGTTGAGGCAATCATGAGCCCCAGGGATGAAGAGGGTCATAGGACACTAGGATACAGCATGACCAGAGCCACGATTCTACAACATTAGTAAAACCAGACTGGAAAAATGGCCAGGAGGGCAGAGAGGACCACAGGCAAGGGAGGGGAGCACTACAACAGCCTGGGAGGGCAACGGGGTCAGAACCATGGCTTTCCAGTGATGACAGCATTTTATAAGATTGTACGCAACTCAATGGCTATGCTAGCAGGAGATGGTCCTAATGGTTAAGACTGGGCCTCACATGTCTTGTTCTGAAGCAGGCACAGACACTTGAGGGAAGATGCTGATACAAGAGGATGCTTCTTCAGCTTGCTTGATCTGATGCAAATCAACTTAGGCACTTTTCCTTCCCTTCCTCCTGTTCTAGAAAGCTTTTGTTTTTTTCCTGATTATAAAAATAGTAAATGCTCATCATGAAATTGGGGATCTACATAAAATAAAAATCACTCATAGTTGTATAATCCAGAGGTAATCACTTTTATAATTTTAGTCTATTTCCCTCCACCAATTACTTTTCTATGCACGAGGCATTGGAAAGAGTGCAGTTGGTTAGGGAAATAATCTTAGTTATGCACACTCTTATAGGTTCTACCTTATACTATAAATATGAAACCAGCACTGTCCATAAAAAAAGTTGTTGTTTTGAGCATTAGTATCTACAGCTGTTTGTCTGAATAGCTGGTCTCCATTTCTGAGAAGCTCTTTTTGTATACATTTCATGGCAGTGAACTGTGTTGATATATACGTAGCACAGAATGTAAAGGGTTACACTTGTATCGTGCCTTGTCTCTGAGTAGATCTCCTATATCATTAAATATTTTAAATGTTCTTTAGTGGATGATCGTTTTAACCTGCCTAAAATTTACCAATTCTTCAAGAGCCATGTCAACTTTTTTTTTTTTTAAAGATTTTATTTATTTATTCATGAGAGAGAGAGGCAGAGGCAGAGGGAGAAGCAGGTTCCCCGCGGAGCAGGGAGCCCGATGCAGTACTCGATCCCAGGACCCTGGGATCATGACCTGAGCCGAAGGCAGACGCTTAACCGACTGAGCCACCCAGGCGTCCCGAGCCATGTCAACTTTTGCCTCCATTATATGCATTCAATGATAGCCCATTCATTATTTCATAGATCCTCTGAATTGCTTTACCAGTGTCGAGTCCGTTCTTTTTACAGATCATCTTGCCAAAATAATTTCTCTCAAACATAGCACTGATCATGTCACTTCCCAGCTCGGGGGGCCTTCCATGGTTCCCAACGGCCACCTGATAAAGCGCACACTTCTTAGTCTGGTTTCACTGGTCCAGACCACCCCCCTCCCTGCCCCCATACACCCGACATTCCTATCAAAGTCAACCTTCTGTGCCTTTACTTCAATTTCCCCTTGCCTGAGATTCTAATATTGCCCCACGTTCCCTCTATCTTGATGACAGTTATTTGTGAATGTGTCTTTCTTCTGGTTTGAGCTATAAACTCTAGGAAGCCAGGACTTGCAATTTCAGTTCAGTGCAATTAAATATAAATCAAAGTCCCTGAAGACCAACTCTATTCCAGACACCATGCAAGGTGTTAAGAGTACAGAGATGAATGAGACGCAACCCTCACCCTCAGGGATCTCAGAGCCCAGAGAGGGAAACAACATGTAATAAATATCCTGATTCGAGCACTACACGAAGCCGCAAGAATACGCTCAAGATCCAGGGGCCACACAGCGGAAGGTACAGGCTCTCTCTGTGCAGAGGCTGGGCTGTAAGCAGGTGATTTCTAAAGGGACAGGAGAGTGCCCGACAGCAGAGAGGAAGTGCAGCATGGCCTATTCCAGCAAATTTTGGAAAGGTGGGTATTTCTGTAGTGAGGGAAGAAATGGATTGCCCTTGGCAGCAGCAGGGTCAACACTGTCAACAGCCTTGCAAAATATGACAGAGCTTCAAAACCAAATGTGATTGAACATCTCTTCCAAGGCTGTCTTTGGTCACTCTTCCAAATATTTCTTAGTCTGAAGTTTCTGCATATAATCTTGTTTCTCTCCAACTAGAATATACACTTTTAGAAGGCAGAATGCTTGTGTGTGCCCTTGCTGATTGTCTCAAAGCCCTCGGTATGGTGTGGAGCACAGAGTGGAGGTTTTAGCAATATTTTAAATTCACCCCTCATCCTGGTAGTTGTAGGCTCAGTGCTTAAAGGGAACTTGAAACATCTGTTAGAAAAATTAACCAAAGCTGAGTCAAGATAAAAACTGAAAGGACCAGCATATTTTGCAGAAATGTTTTGGATTAGTGATTTTGCCTCTAGAACAATTTTATTTGCTGTTAAAAAAGCAATTTAATGCAATTTGTTTCAAATGTCATATTTTAGCATATTTATGGTTGTCAATAACTGTGTAATCAACAGCAGAACAACAAGTATAAATTTTCAGCTATGATAATTGGATTTGCCTCTCAGAATTGCTTGTATATAATGACTGTTAATCAATGGAGTACATTCTCTGCAGACTGGTCAGCCCTCTCTCTCCAATCTCTGCTGGACAGGACAGTAATCTATGACCCTAAATGGCATCTTCTCTATAGGGAGTAAGTGTAGTGTGATGACCAATATTAGTAGCTGAGCCAAAGAAATGGAGGTGAATGAAGAGCAAAGTTGGAATCGTCAGTGTCCCACTCTGTCAAATTTATAGCAAACCAGAGCAACAGCATCTTGTGTTTATTTGGGGGAGGAAGCAAGAAATGGATGTGAGTGTGATTGTCCAGATCTGTTTTTTTAAACTGGAGAAGCAATAGGGCAGGGGAATTCTGTCATAGGACCCTGTCCAATGAGAAAAAGAAAAAGTGAGCCTCCCCCTCACAAAACAAAGAAAAGAGAAGAAGTAAAGGCTATAATACAAGTAAATAATAAGGGAAGTGTAGGTAGGCATAAATACAGGTATAAATAGCCAAAAGGAGACTGCAAAAAAATGGACAGAACGTAGGGGGGTGTGTGGGGAGGCAAGTCACAGGCCACAGAGAAAAGGATCACATAAGACAGACAGTAAAGAAGAAGAAAATGATAACAGGGTTATATTTAAGTCAAACACTCAGAAGTTCTCCACAGGATGATTTGACTCCAGAATCTTTCACTGGGATGCTAACCCACACTGTCATGTGCATTCCTCCTTATGTATGGTGGTGGTGGTGGGGGGGGGGATGATGGAATATGTTTCCTGTTGTTAATTTTAACTCCTAAATGTCATTGTCCATAATTCCACTCTTGCAGTTCTAGGGGGACAGGCAAGTGCCAACGGTCTGGTTGTCAATATCATTTTCCCTGGGGATGACAAGAACCACGAAAGTGTCACCAAAGGGGGAGTCAATCCCACAAGAGTACCTGGATAAAGCCTAGGCAGTAGGAACACTGCTATGTATTCCAAGTGACGGTGTCTGTGGAGAGAGCTAACTATAGGACTATGCTCTAATAAAAAACTCAAATCCCCAAAGCCAGTTGATCCTGCCAGAGACCCATAAATGATCCTCTATTTAATTCACATTTCTTGTCCTTTCACTTTGGAGACCTCGCCCGCCCCAGCCGACATGTGAAAAGCAGCCCTCTTACATGAGTCTGGGTATGTCGCTGACGGCCACCGTCCCGTCGTGGGTCTCGCTCTCTCCATCTTCCTCCTCTTCATCACTACTTTCTGACTCCTCACTGGAGGAGGAGTAATCAGTCACCTTCTTCAGCGGGCGGTTTGTTTCTTCGATCCGGAGTTCTCGTAATTCTTTGGCTAATGCCGTCAGGTCCTACAAAAGAAGAGTTCGTTCGGTATGTATGAGTTGTAGAGACGACCAAAGTCGCATCTCTCAGCAAGTCAGTGTTGCAGCTTAAGCAACAAGAAAAGAAAGCTCTAGATAGAACTGTTACAAACATAGTGGCGGTATGGAGCGAAGAAAACGATGTTTGTAGCACAGAGAAACTAGGAAAGAAAGATGGAATAAATTTAAACTTTGTTCAAAACCAATGGCTAGACTGAGACGGTTCAGTTCTGAATACATGTGTATATATGTGTATGTGCGTTGTGTGTCTACACATATATACAAACGTTGGGTTCTCATTTTATTTTGGGAAGGTGAAGTGGGTCACCCTCAGAGTGAAGGAGAAAACACATGGGCTGAGCGATTGTTCCCCAGGATTCTGGGACTCCTGCCCAAGCCACCGTCATGGCCTTTCCCCTCTTTGATTGCTACTGTACCAAAATCTAGCATCAGTCACAGAACAGAGCAATTCCCACGGTTCCAGCTACTACAATGACTCATCTGATGTGTCATCATTCCCTGGAGAGCAGAGGCACCGCATCAAATAATGGCCCACCCCAAAGCCCAGTGCCGCTGAAACTTATAGCCCCAGAGCTGAGTTAATCAAGACGAACGACAACCAAAAAAAAAAAAATTTCTTCCAGAACGATAGGTGTTTCATTTTCCTTTGTTTAAAACTACAGTCACCTGGCAGAAACCCTCGTGAGGAATACTGAAATGAATGCACAGACACCACAAAGGAAGAGATCATTTTTCAGGTTTCCATGAGTATGATGCAGTCTTCAGCCTTATGGATGTGATGATGTGGTATCTAATCACGAGGCACATTGCAGGCAGTGTGCTGGATCTCTGACTACCTTTGACTTCACATGCTTTCCGAGCAATGCAGAGGGCAGCAGTCCTGCAAAAGCATGGTCGCTCTAATTTGCATGGGTTACACTGCCCATGGCGCATGGCATGCAATGAGGAAAAAGCAATTGGACATCAGTCTTACCATTTCTCCCTATATTAGTGACCCATGTGGGAATCAGAGCATTCAGTGAGAGACAGGGCATTAGGGAGAAAGAAACTCATTGAAAGATACTAAATCCCACAGTTTTCTTATGGCCATATTCTCTCTTTATTTCAATTCAGAAATGTATTTATTTGTCCAATTCGCCTGAGGTCAGATTAGAGCATGTAGGTGATCTAAATGGCATCTCCTAATCTAGCCTACTTGGTTAGAAGAAACACCGTGAGGAGTGGGTATAGTTAAATTATAAATGTAATTTTGTTTGGGGGAGATCACAAATCATCATATTTCTTTACCGTCCCCTCTATGTCAGGCATTATTATGTTGGTTAAGAGTAGAAGAGGAAACATTTTAGGTGTTTCATTTGGTCTAGAAATTTAGGAAGTTCAAGGTGGTAAGTGAAGGAGTCATTTCTTCTAATTTCATAATAAAATCAAAGGAAAGCAATCATGGCTTTTAAATCTGTTCTGAAGTCACCTGAATTGAAGCACCTGAAAAGGGAAGCTTTTGAAAATTCAAGTTGTGCATTTTCTACCCAAACATGCTTGCTGGGCTTTTTACACACATGCACACACGTGTGGCCTCAATCTCAGTGGATATATTAACCCCATCTGTGAAAATGAAAATAGAATTGTATTAAAAAGACTCAGAGGTGTTTAAATATAATGTATACTGTTAAAGAAGAAAATTACCACATAGATAGAATTTTATGCAAATTTATTTCTTGTTTCTTTGGCAATAGGCCAAAACAGGAAGAGGCAATATTCAGATTTCAGCTTTATACTCCTTATTTCCTCTGGACATTGCCAATATTTATCTTTATCAAATTGAGAAGATAGTGAAGGGTATGCAATACTTGAGCACAGTGGGAAATATAGTTTAGATATTTGTTAAAGCTATGAATAGAAAAGGATATTATAATCATCCAAACCAGTAAAATAATAACAGATAAATTTATTTTGTATTTTGTCTTCTATATGTTAGGAGCATGTTAAGTCTCACCAAAGAATGTAAAGCAATTAAAATGTTACTTATCATTAAAAAACGCATTTATTATAATTTAAAGAGAGAATATGGTTTAAAATAATTTATTTTTAATGTCAATAATCCTGAGTAAAATATAATAATATTAGCTGTGATTTATTTAAATTTATAATACATTTTCCTTATGGGTTCATTCTCCTTATCTCTGACATTTCAAAACAAGACAAATAAGATTTGAAAAAAATCAAAACTCTTTAGCAATATTTAGCCAGTTCAAAGCCCATTGATTTCAAGAAACTCTCATTCGTGAAAATGAACTATTTTTTTCTAAACACTGTATCTAGGAAAAGTTTAAAGTTCTGACCTGTTTTATAATTTCATTTTTTAATTAGAATATTTTTTTTTTGTTTCTACATTATTAAAAAGCTATCTTTCTTGAAACACTGAAAGTAATTGCAAATTCCTTTTAAGTTTACTTGGTAACAGCTTGATGAGACATATACGAGACTCCCAAGGTAACAATAATGAGTAACTCAAAGGTAATACCCCAGTCAAAGAAAATTAATCTCCCATTGCCAATGGTCTACATGCTTAGCTGCGGTTTTGTTCCTTATCCATCCACTCTGGAAGAATTTACAATAGCAAAGTTATAGAAAATAGACACGATCTAAAACTGACACCACTGGGTTCAGATCCACTTTCATACATTTTATTTTCTGACAATACCAATTTTCTCTATATAATGAGTTTTTGTGGTAATTTATTGCTTGGCTGTCTCAAGCCTGGAGCTAAAACGTATTAAAAAAGAAAAAAAAGTGCTATTTAGCATGAAAATATTTGAGAAATGTATAGTATAACTGAAAAAGAAATACAGCAAAATGGTAAGATTTTTTGACTATAGAGTAAATGAGAAGATAGGAAGCTCTTACCCAGAAGCTTCTTTGCTATAACACTTTTTAGAATTAATTTGATATTTTGTTTCATTAAAAAAAACTCTTATTTAATTTGACAATTATGTATACTTTACCTAAAAAGGTGCTCTTTTAGGTCTCTTTTTAGAACAACGTAGTTTATGTAGATTTTAGTTCAATTTTTTGAACTATTAAGGTAATAGTTAAAAATCTTTAAGCTGGTCTTTTCTTTACGTATGAGAAGAATTTACTTCCTTTTTAGGAAATCTTTAGAAATGACATTGGGGAAGTTACTTAACTTCAGTATCCTCACCTGAGAAAGAAAGGTTTTAGACTACTAGCTATTGTTCAAGTTCTGTCCAATCTGTGGGTGTGCTCTGGAAATTTTCAGATTCTTACATAGTACAAACAAACAGTGCTACAGCCAATGTTTGCTTATGTATCTAATATTCATGTCATATGTTTAATTGTGCTAAAGTAAAGAGGATATTTATTTTCAACGATTATGTTAATCACAGACTATATTGCACAATCTTATATTCTATTAGAAAGGACTGCCAAATTAATGGACACTCCCTCAGATCGATGTTCATGAAAAATCAAACCATTAGATTAACAATAACAAGCAACACTTTTTTTTCAGAGTTTTAAGGCTTTTCATTTCAATCCTGGGTTATCTAAATGGCCAGTCCCTATAGAAGGAAGCCATATCAAAACCTAGGAATGAAGATGGGAGAGAGGTTTATTTAATTCAAGGTTTCTCAACTGTGGCACTATTGACATTTGGGGCTAGATCATTCTCTACTATGGGTTGCTCTCCTGTGCTTGGGAGGATGTTTGGCAGAATCTCTCTGCTTTACCCACAAGACACCAGTAGGCACTGCCTCCCACCTCCAAGTTGTGACAATCAAAACTGCCCCCAGACTTTGCCAAATATCTCCTAAGAGGGGTGGGGAGAGGAGGGAAAAGGAGAAGAGGAATTGTCCCTGCTTGAGAACTACTGAGTTAGGTAGAACCAAGTAATCCTGTATTTTTAGTGGTTTAGATCAGTGACATTCAAGGGTAGGTAGGGTTATCAGAATCACCTGGAGGGCTTTTTCCAACCACACATGGTTCCAGAGATTTCAGTGTATAGCTAATATCCCCTCAATTACTTATACTTCTGTTGCCCCCTGTCATCTCTGTCCAGTGTATGAGAGTAAAGCAAAATAAATAAAGCAATTTTTTAAAGCCTAAAATATCCTGGGTTAACCAGATGACATCCATTTCCCTCATGACTGCCACCTTCAAGCTAATTTCTGCGCTTATGAGATTTCCCTTGAGTTGCACACACACACAACCATTTTATTGGCAGCCATGGCACCAGAATATCGTTCTCTTTCTTCAACGATTTGGGAGAAAATTGATACAAGTTGTGATAGTTGCTGTCCTTGTGATTATTATGAGGGGAAGGGCCAGGCTTTGGCACAGAGCAATGAAGAACGCCCTCCATTTCCTTTCTATAAGTGCCGTCCACACACTGTCGACATGTAGAGTCACATTTTTTTAATAAGCAGCAAGCCTTTACCTAAGAAATAACGTTCTAAATCACTGTGAATGGTAAGGTGTCCTAATTCTGAAAAACTGAGGCTCTTTGGTAAAGATCAGATGCATAGAAACCTGCTTCTTCTACCTGCCAAAATGGCTCCATGTCTCAGGCCCAAAGCTTAGCATGAGGACAACCTCTTGGCTTTACACTTCATAAAATGCTCTCGCACACATGATCTTGAGTGATCTTAATCAAGCTTGTGATCGAGGCAGAGCAGGTGTCTTTATCCCCATTGCACACATGAAGAAACTGGCTCAGAGAGGTTATGAGACTGGTCCTGGCCAGTTGCTTATGGGGGCGGGGGGGGCGGCTAGAATTTGAATTTGTTGACTCCAAAGCCAGTGCTTTTTCCATATCATTTCACAAAAACGGTGCTCAGCAGAGCTATAGCCGTAAAGCCTTCAGATTCCATGCAGTTAGGACTCTTGGCAAGGCCTGTCTCTTAAAAACAACAACAACAACAACAACACAGATCTACTATGCTGTGTTCATGCAGGTCTGACAAACAACAGAAGGCAGTCATCCTTCTTAGCAAGCTACCTAAGATTGACAAAGCCATATATTTTTCTAATGGAAAAATGTCTCCACAGATAAGGAAATAAAGTCACTTAACTCGTCAGGATACATTAACTAAAGTTGATGTTGCTGCTGATGCTGTAGTTAATGTTCCACAAAATTAATCTAACTCAGTAACTCCTTGTTCACAAATCACACATATAAATTTGGAGTGCTTTAGAATGATGTCTCTCTTCTTTGTTAGTAAAACTACCATCCCCTTTGCAAAGCTGGTGAGTACAGGTTAAGAGCTAGGCTTTGCTCTTGGAAGATGCTGGGATGAAAAACTTCCCAATAATAAAGCACTAATGCTTATCTTTAGCCAGACTGGAACACTGGAAAAGTGACATTTTTTTTTTTTGGCTTCAAAGGAAGGTCTCCGGAGCTTCCCACGAGTGTCTGAGGGCCTCAGGCTGGCTGTGGTTGAAGGGGCTTGCCTTGCAGCAGACCCTTCCAGAGCACTGAACTTTAAATCTGTCATCCAACAGGCCGCCTCTCTGAATGTCAACATCAGGAAATCAGCTTTATATTGACATCTTGTGACAGCATGACCAAGAAAAGGTGATACTAACCTCATCTATCGCTTTCTTATAGCTCTGAGATAGGAGGAACCCAATCCAGAAGAATCCATAGGAGGGGGAAAAGCCAGAAGAAAGGCAGCAGGTTAGACACAAAATGGGAATTGTTAGTACACAACTGATAAATGCAAAAGAGCAGAGAGAACCTCAGTCCTGAATGGGGCGAATCCCCTTCAGGATTGCTCTCACTCTGCTTCCTAACTTTAATACGTACGAACCAGAGTAAACCAACAAGTCCTCACATTCGTTTCATAGAGAAGGTTCTCCGCAATTTTAAAGAAAGTAAGTGGATATTCACTCATCCCAAATTAATTTCCAACTTTCAAATGTCAGCTTCTACGCTCTTCTTTCTTTCGCTAAAGCTATTTGGGGTCTGTCATGTGTCAGCAAGGAAGCTAGATTTCAAGTTGTCAGGCCCCTTGTCAAACCATGCTTATCACATTTTGGTCCAGAAAAATATAGTCCTGAAGGCATGAAGAACAGCAAAAATGACATTAATTCATACGGCAAATGATCTGGGGAGAGAGCGGAGCAGACAATAGAAACCCACAGAAAGTGCCCACATCTCCTCAACTGCAGCTCCACATCTTTTTGCCAAAGCTGCTGAGTAGAAATTACGTAATGATAGGAGTTATTTCTCCCCCTTTTTTATTCTCTAAAGTAGCGTAATGCAAAATGCCTAGAGGCAGATAAGCAATCCAAGATCTTTTCAGTTCTTTCCTAATCAGGTATGACTTTCCTTCTGGATGCTTCTAGCATCCATTCTTCTTCTTAATCTCAGCAAGTTCTGTTTCATAGTCATGAGTGTATCCCCAACTACCTGATCCTGTGGCTTCTCTGGTAACTTAAGAGAGTTCAAAAGCACTCACAGCTGGTCGACTAGGTCGGGTAATGTCCCTGGATTCTTCTGGCTTCACTTTGGAAGGCTCGTGGGGGAGCACAGGCGATCCTTCCGACTTACTGTTGGCTAGATAGAAAAACAGGGGCCAAGAAAAATAATGACCATCACGAAGTGTTGACTCAAGTTTTGCAGTTCAGTGGTGAGTCATCCTTCAGGATTACTCAGGGGATACGTCATTCACTTAGGCAAATCTCAAACACATCTGTGAAAAAACTGTTCATGTTCAGGCAAACGCATTTAGGCTTGTGACCTGGAAGTCACTACTAATCATAAGAAAAACTAGCAAGCACCACTACCACCACCATTTACTGAGTGCTAAATGTGCATCACACGTAATGCTAAATGCCTTCTACATCAACGGTCTCATCGGATTCTTGCTCCAACCCAATGTGTGGCACTCTTTTCCCATTTTACAGTTCAATATAGACTTTGAGAGATGGCACACTAACCTAAGGTCATGCAGAAATTATGGGCAGAGCAGGGATTCTGTCTGGCATGAGCCCATTGTAAAAAAACAAAAAGCTCAGCTATTGCACTAAACCAGCTTCCGTGTTAACATTCTATGTTTGGTTTTTTCTTTTACCACTTATCCATCAGAATAGTTTATTTTGATGCCAGAGAAACCCATTTTATTTGATGGAATGGTTTTTAAATGGGAGGCGGGGGTTGTCGGGGTCTCTTAAGGAAAAAAGAATGAAGTGGGGACAGGAAGGAGAGTGTTGGTGACAAAGGGGAAGAGCCCCAGGACAGAGGTACAGAGCAAGGATGGGGGAGGGCTCCCCAACAGCTCCAGAGTGAAGAGCATCTCTCCGATTTAATTATAGGTAGAGAAAATCAATCTGGCATAGGAGAGATTCTTTTGTTTTAAAGTGGTTTTCCTGGGCAGAAACAGTCCAGGGATACAGCAGTGTTCTTAACCCAGAGGACCTAGGGGCCAAAGGAAAGAAGATAAGAATTAAACCCAAACCAGATCAGAGAATTAAAATGGTATGTGTAACTTTCGTTTTCTTTAGTTTGTTATAAGGATATTAAGTTGCTTATGAATAGAAAAAAGATAAGCCAATGGCAGTTTTCTAAATTAAGTAAATTTATATTTGGATTAAAGCAACAAAAGGACACATGACTATGGGCTGGGCCACCGACGTCTGAAGAACGCATATGGGAGCAGCCACATCCCAGTCCAGAGACATGAGCATCGCATGCCAGGTTTCAACCTTTTCAAAATGGACGTACAGTGATTTTACTTTTTTAAAACTTTAAAAAGATATTAGATGGCCAACTCTGGTTGTGTCTAATGAAGAGGCTAAGAAAAAAATAAAGAACTGGTTGTTTTTTCTCAGGCAGAGTAAGTTGTTAATATTTGTCAAATTGCACTTAAAAACGTTCTGGTCTTTCTTACTTGGAAGCAAAATTATCTTCTGAAGGAGGTTGTTCAGAAAGAATCACTTTTGTAGCAAGAAATAATGTGTTGTCATGTGTAATTACTGGACATGCTCTTGTTTTTCACAAGCTTCTTCATTAATGAGAACTGCACAGTGATGAAAGACTTGAATAAATGGTCAGAGAAGCTCATTTTTTATTCCTCTTGAAAAAGAGTCACATATACTTTTTAAGTCAAAGAGTTTACTTCTTCTCTAAAGCGCATATGTATTCTACATAAGTCTTTACCGAATTCCACTTTGAGAGATCCCTAGTATTATGGACTATATTCAGAATACCAAAAAGGGACGATTGGCGTAATGGGAAGAGGATACTTGGGGGTACATGAAGCCCGAAACAGGCAACAAATGGAAATGGCAATTCAGGTGACCCTCAAGTGATTATCTTTTCAAATAAGACCAACGATCTAAGATCTTCCTGGAAAACAACGTCACCTGCAATGAGCAAAGATTCAGTGCAAACTCTGATGTCGTACATGAGCCTGGGGCTGGTGGTTCTCTCATCTGAGGAGGACCGAGACTAAGGGCAGTTAGAGGACTCTGCAGCATCACACGGTGGTGGCCACGCCAGGCACGGGGGTCACAGAAGCCGGGAAGCGCGATGAGCCCATGCCTACGGCTCTCCGGCCCAGGCGGTGCTGTCAGGGCAAGGCAGGGGGAGAGCTCACCTCGAACTCTGGTCCGTTCACTGGACCCCGCTTGCGAGCCAGGCTGAGAGCCTTCTTGGGAGCTGGGCTGGGAGCTCGGGGTGCTGGAGCTGGAGGAACTACCACTGCTGGTCCTCTGCAAGGGGCTCTCCAAGACGGGCTCAGTTCTCCGGAGGTCGGGGTTGCTGTACGGAAGGCAGAGCACGGTGACCACACGCTCCAGACCGCACCATTCATAGACACAAGCATAGTCCAGTCCCGCCCCGGGTACGAAGGGGCAACCAGAGCCCTTGCGTCACCCTGCACGGAAAGGGTCAACGGGAATGGACAGTCATGTTGTCCTCTGTGGAGCTCCCAGCCTGATACTGCTGATGGGATGGACTCTTGACCCAACTCCTGGGTCATCACGCTGAAGTATTAGCTCTGAAATGGTGCTCTTCAAAGGAGGCTTTCTCTTAAACCCTTATTCCCCTGTTCATTGTAAAAAAACAAAAAACAAAAACAAAAACAAAAAAACCTTGAAAAATAATAAAAGAAAAAAAAAAGAAAGAAAGCAAAACATGCAATCTCTGACCCAAGAGAAATCCAACTATATTCTATTTAGTATAGTATCTTCTAGGCTTTTTTCTTTTGTATGTATGGAAGCATGCTCTATGTTCAGTTTTGCAGCTTGCTTTTTCCCCTAACATTGCATTGTGAGCAGCTTCTTATGCTTACAAAAACAACAGTGGCTGCTTAGGAGTCAGTCCATGGATGAATTAGTTTAACCGTTCCTCTACGGCTGGATATGAAGGTACTTCTGGTACACTGGCCGGACACATAACACTGAAATAAGTATCTCTCCAGGCATACAAACACCCAATCATAGCTCCTTCCTGGACCTGGAGTTCTTGGGTGGAAGGACATGAACCGGGATGTGTGTGTTGCATATGCTTGTATGTGAGTGTGTAATGGAATTACCAGTTTTCGCTGAAGTGTATGAAATGGTCCAGCTTACTGAATTCTTAACTATGCTTTATTATGAGCAGTTTGCTGATTTGTAAAAAAAAAAAAAAAATTATCTTGTTTTAAAACATTACTATTGAGGGAGAATAATTTTTATTCACTTTTATTTACCATTTATAATTCTTCTTCTGTGAATTGCTTAATCAAGTCCTTTGCTTATGTGGTTAGTGGCATATTTGCACTTTTAAAATTTCTTTCAGGAAGGCTTTATATACTTTGGCTCTTATCAAAGGGAGGTGTGTTTTAAAAGAATTATTATTAGGGCGCCTGGGTGGCTCAGTTGGTTAAGCGACTGCCTTCGGCTCAGGTCATGATCCCGGAGTCCTGGGATCAAGTCCCACATCGGGCTCCTGGCTCAGCGGGGAGCCTGCTTCTCCCTCTGACCCTATCCCCTCTCATGCTGTTTCTCTCTCTCTCTCTCTCAAATAAATAAATAAATAAAATCTTTAAAAAAAAAAAGAATTATTATTAAGTGCTAGTTCAAGAACAAATGCTAGTAGTCCCCACTTGTGATAAGACCTTACGGTGTTATTCACTTGCACAGCTTAGCTGCCCCCCAAATGGTGGTATTCATTTACTCACTCAGTTGGTCCGACCAAGCACGGGGTCAGGCATTTGAGAGACGGTGATGAATAAGACACAGCCCTGTCCCCGCCAGCATAGCCAGGCACGCACGGCCAATTCCATCCCAGCTCTGCCTGCCGGGAGCACGGGACAGCATGGGAGCGTGGAACAGGGCCACCTGGGCCCCTTTTGGTGACCGTGGAAGCTGTACTAGGACAGTGGTGGGAAACCACGGCTGAGGTTTTGATGATTTTGGTATAAAAATAAGCAGCCTCCTCAAAGTTTCCTTTTTAATTTATAACTCTTCCTTTTTAATTTAGAACTCCTAGGCCTTTTCATTTTTCCTTCAGACTTACACAATGCTGGGCCTAAATGGATAATTTAGCGAGGCCTGAAACTCAGAGCTCAAATCTACTGCCAGCCACCTGCCCCACGGACCCCTACATGTTTCCCGTGCCTTTGATTCTCCAAACAGAACTGCACACCTTTGCTAAAAGAGTCACCACAGTGTGATTGGAGACTATGATTTTAATGCAGGAAGTCATGTTAAAATGTAATTTTATGCTTTCATCTTGCTCTGTTCATTTTGAGAATGTCAAGTGCACTCTGAACTGTGTTGGGTCTCCCATGTTTCATGTATAAAAATGAAAATCATATGACCTCTTCCCTTGAGACATTTGCGTTTTAGTGTACCAAAAATCTGACCACAGAATAGCCATAATTATAGCAGCAACTAGACCAAATAATTTCTTTTCAAGAACACAAGAACCTTGCTTTTTGGTGAGGTATCTGCCAAAAACAGTTGATCGAGTTACAAACATTTTTAAACATTGGGTTATTGGAAGACATGGCTGGTGGTCCTGGAAAACATATGTAAAAATAAATATGTCCCCATAGCTTATTAATTTTGATTGTATAAATGTAAAATTTTTTGACAATATTTATCTTTTAAGTTTTTATGGTGAAGGAATTGCTAAGTCAATCCAGCAGTGTGATCAACTGCAGCAGAAGTGATTATCAAGCTTAAGGAAAATGTTTAAAATTCTCAATATTTTTACAGAACTCCTTTGTGTAGTAATTGTTTTTGGAAAACTGCTAGCATTTAATCGGTTTAAATAGATTTGGATCCATACTGGAAACAGCCCTGATTTGGAGAATGCCTGAAATGATTAAATGTATAATACTTGTGCAATATCCTACCTTTCGAACTCTCCTTAAAGAAACAATCTTATCTCCTTTTATTCCCCAATAATAAATTCTTTCCCATGGTCCTCTTTTATTAACAGTGGTGGTCAGGAATTATTTCTATATAATTACTAAAGTCCCAAAATATTTTTTCTAAAAATTCTATTGCTAATCAACTGTATTGCAGATTGAAGGTGAGGGGCATGCTAAGGTTTCTTGGTAGTTGCTTTCGTTTTGTAGAATGGTAATGTAGTGTTCTTTGTATTAAAAAAATAAAAACAGCTATGAAGAGAAGGGTGGCTGTGAGCTCTGAGATTTTTTTTCTCTGGTGGCTGTGGTGTGCTAGCGAGATCCAGCTCTTTGCTTGAACACAGCACTCGTTTGATCATTTAACCAACACCTTTCTCTGAAACACCTACTTTGTGAGCCTCATTGGACCAGTATGAGGGATGGAGGTGAGCACAGGTCACAGGTGCAAGGTGTGAGATAATTCTAGAGATGGGAAACATGCAGTGGAAATCACAGTGGATAGGGCAAATCTCTGTATGCTGTGTGTGAAAGAACCAGTAGGTATTGTTGGCATTTGGGGAACAATGAATGCGGCCCGGAGTGGTCGAGTTGGTGTCAAGATGGAGACAGGACTTGACTGTGCCTTGGCGGGGGGCGGGGAGCAGGAAGTCTGGGGGAAGCACCTGAGCAAGGACACAGGGGCTGGGGTTTTCCCCGGGACTCACTGGTGTAGGGAGGACACCACCCTGATGGAGTACCACGTCTGTGTCAGGTTTCCCTAGAAGAGAGGCTCATCAGAAGGGATGGCTTAGGCCGCAGCGCCTGTAAGACCCGGAAGAGCACACAGACCTCCTAGGGCAGGCTTACGGATGACCGGCCAGGAGAGAGGTGGGCTGGCCAGGTGGGTGGGAGGCTGCCGCCATCATGATGCTAAGGCCTGGGTCAAGGAGGGGCACGGGGATTGGCAGAACCAGCTAGGATGTGCATGTGTCTCCCATGGGACTCCGAGCCTCGTTCGGTGTGAAGTTAATTGGATCCCACGGGCGTTAAATCCCTGACCTGAGCCTCATTAGCATGGGCCCTCCTCACTGGAGCTCACCAGCATGGCTGCTGATCTTAATAGGATGCTATTTTTGCTGCTGGAGACTGAAAGAACTATTTCCTTTCTATATAACCACACATAGAAATCGGGAAAACTTTAAAATGCTTTTTCTACCTTATTGTAATTTTTTTTTGAAAAATTTAGTATTTTGAGAAAAGGTCATACCATTCATATTTTTCTTTTCCTTATTATGTAGTAATATGGTCTGGTCTTGGGGCCAAGGAGTCTGAGATAAATGCTTTGAGAGGGAATTTCAGAAGAATTCTATGAAATAACAGATTTCCTTTGGTCACATATTAACTGCAACTACTAAGCTCCAAATGTGTAAAAACTTGAAAACATTCATAAATATTCCTTTAAATGCTAACTTTTAGTTCAGACATTTGCCGTCCCACAGACAATGCTGATTGGTCTATAAAACACACAGTAAAGTGAAAATGTGGCAATTATTCCATTTACTCGAATCATATAAAAAGTCAAAACAGAAAATTAGGATTACAAAGTGATTTCTTAGCCCAAATACTTGGGCCAAGTCTATAATTAACTGGCTGACTGCCAAAATTCACTTTACTTTATTCTTTGATGACACAGCCAATGGGAACAAATGAGCCATAGGAAGATAGATTTGGGACAGGACAGAGAATTATTTTTCGAAATTAACTTTTAGTCATTGGGTTTTGACTGGGTGTTTCTGGCTTAATTTAAATCTTTTCATATTCTGAATATACTTGTTTGACCAAATTTTAATTTGCTTTAAAGGAACGAATTCAAGTTAAATATTAAAGTACCTGGAATTTTTTAAAAGCAATATTTAAAAAAACAAATCAAATCTTGATTTAGACTCAAATGATCACCTTGACAACACAAGGCAGCTGGGAGCCCAGAGAGCAGGTAAGAACCGCACACCAATGTGCACATGCGTGAGAAGGAAGGGCGGAACAGGTGCAGGGGGTCATGGGGACTGCATTATCACACAGACTGCAGCCACGTGGGATGGGAACTGTCAAATGCACATAGTGACCTGAGTACCAGCTTGAGCAGGAAAAATTGGGGGGGTATAAATAGGTCCCACGAGATGATAACTTTTGAAAGGTAGTCAATAACACAAGATGAGAATCGATAACCATAGGATTAAGAGGAGCTACTAACATAGTCGTCAAATTGCGTGGTGGGAATGGTTGGAGGCAACATGGTGCCTTGTCAGTCAACAAATCAAGAGTCCCCTTTCCCTTGGAGAACACGAGGCAGCAATGTCGGCTGCATTTACTGCTGAACAGGTAAGCACGGCATGGTACTGAAGAGTGTGGACTTGGGTGCAAGGCTACTAGGTTCAAACGGTGGCTCTATCACTTAGTAATCTTGTCACCTTAGGGGCCACTTGCTTAACTTGTGTTCGTCTCAGTCTCCCTTCTATAAAATAGAGGTGATTCAGCCACTACCTCACAGAGTTAGTATATGGCTTACATTAGCTACCATTTGAGATGCACATTGAACATTGCCTCCCATTATAATAAAGATGTTCCAGAAGTGTTTATTAAATAAATAAATAAATGACAAATTGCCCCAAACCAAGCAGAAGACAGGGATTCATGGGGGTCACCCAGTAACACTTTCTTGACCAACGAATACCAGCACAGCTGTAGACAGGGGAAGAGTGACGTAATTGGAAGTCTTTTCTGGGACAAGGAAGGCTTGTGAAAATAGTAAAGCTCTGCTTTTTTCCTCGCCTTACAGGTACGTGCTTGCATACTCCCATTTTAACTCACCTCCAGAATCTTCCATTCAGGGTGCCAGGTTGTTGATTTAAACATACCATTTCCTACGTTCTCAGAAATAATCACACATTCTGTAGTCACTGGAGAATAGACAACATCTGGCACCTAGGACCTGGAGTTCATTAGCACTTGAATTCAGGTGGGCAAAAACTGAGCTTTTTAACCATTAGGCTCTGCTTTCTATTCTTTCTTTTTCCTACTGGCTTAGCACAAAAGTGGTTTATTTCTCACTCATATCACGATATACACCGATAGAACTGCTCTCCTTGGTGGTTTTTCTCCAAGTGGGGACTTGGGGACCCAGGTTCCTTCCATATTCAGACACTGTTGCCTTAAACTTGCGGTCCCTGAGTTTGCCACAGAAGAAGAGAGAGCTTTTGCCTTTTTTGCTTTCTTTAGATAAGTCAATTCACATATTTACCCCAAAGCAAAATAAGGAAGTAACAGAATTTTGCCCCTAATAATGCCTGTAGCCCCAAAGAGTAGCAGGTATGGTATATCCTCTGACCCGTGGTCCCTAGACTCAGGTGGTCTTGGTTGAGTCACTGGTTCTCAAGGTCCTATGCGGCCCTTCACACAACAGGTCCTCAATATACGTTTGCTGAATTTAGCAAATGAAAAATAGTAACAACAAAACATCCTGGATTTTTCCTTTATTACATGGGTGATTTTTCTTGGGATCCATTTTTACTTTGCCAATTTCCCACTCTACCTTGAGGATCATTTCAAGGAAAAGGGCTGGGAGGATAAAAAGGAATATTGACCAACTATAAGAAATATGGCTTATAAACACTGTAAAGGATTTAATTATTTAAAAGCAATCGCTTTTTGTGGCTTTATGGATGGACAACTGCCTGAAAGATGGTACAAAAAGAACTATGAGAACTTCATTAAGACCAGTATAAAACAGGAGAGTCTGTTTTATCATAATGCCCCCAGCCAATCAAATCTCCCATTGTCTATGGCCCTGTTTGTTTCCTTTACACATTGACTTAGGACTTGGCCATGTGACTGTGGTTGCCAGTGGGGCATCAGCAAAGATGGTGCAAGCAAGGGCTTGACAAGTGCTTGTGGGGGCTTTCCCTGCTGGGAGGCTGTCCTGAGAATGGTAAACAGTAAAGTGCCCATGAAGGTAGAGCTGTCCCATCAGCTCAGTGCAGCTGCCTAAGTAAGCCCAAGTGAGACCAGCAGAAAAACTTATTAGCCAGCCCACAGAACTGCAAGAAATAATAAATTGTCACTATTTCGGACCACTGAGTTTTAGGGTGTTTTATTATGAAGCAAAGGTGACCTAAAGCTATCTCTATCACAGTAAATAAACCAAATCCTGAAGCTTTAACAAATGCAATCCAATCTAGAGTTGCAAAATCTAATTCACATTTGAAGTGTTGGTCACTCGGAGATAGGTGATCGCAAGAAGTAGAGTATTTGGGGGCGCCTGGGTGGCTCAGTCAGTTGAAGTGTCTGCCTTCGGCTCAGGTCATGACCCTGGAGTCCCGGGATCGAGCCCCGCATAGGGCTCCCTGCTCAGCGGGGAGTCTGCTTCTCCCTCTCCCTCTGAGCTCTTCCTCTCTCAAATAAATAAATAAATAAATAAATAAAATCTTAAAAAAAAAAAAAGCAGCAGAGTGTTTGGTAGGATTACTGCACATGGCAGAGATGAGGATTTTCCATCCCCCCTCCCACAATCCCTCTGACTTTCATTGTAGGTAAATAATTATTACCTCTTGGCTCCCTCCCTCTGTGCCTCCTCTGTAAGCAGAAAAATGTTAGCTGTCTCACAAAGTCTGTATTCTTTGGACAAAGTACAAATTTAAGTGGTTCTGAGGGAAAAACTCATGTTTGACAAGGCACTGACCATCAAAAGCCAACTATCTTGAGCCTAATGTCATTAAAATAACACTTCAGCGGGAACAAAGAGCTACTTTTTATTTGATTATATAATGATAGTGCTCTTTCTTTTTGGCTGATAGAAGGAAAAAAGACTTCCGGTCAAAATGACGCTTGATTTACAGCCGCTAAAATTCTAAGCGACTGATGGAATGAACAGAGCCTTGAGGGCAGGGTCCAAAAGATTAAGAAGCGCTGATAATTGGGGGCTTATTGCTGCTCGAAGAGGGGGACTGACAAAGTTCACACCGGCAATCCCAGGGCTGCTGTTCCTTCGGCTCCTGGTCACAGAACTCTCTGGTCTTCCTCAGCGCTGCTTAGCAACACCAGCTCAGGGTGAAGCTGACAAGTCGCTGGGAAAAAATGGCTCATTCAGAGCTTCCTGCAATTGGCAATTCCACTCAGTATTGGCTAACTTCTTTGCCCTAAAGGGATTAATGTGCTTAGTACAGTTCCATCTTATTTATGGACTGACCTCTTCCTAAAGCTCTTCATGTGAAGAGGAAAATTAGAGCGTCACAATCAAAAGCATTCCATATATTAAAGATAGGTACAAATCATCCTAACGTTGCTTCCAGTCTCTCGTTCTTACTAGCAAGGGAGAGTCCTTCTCTTATGAACACAGTGAAGAAGAATATAACAGCCTGCCCAAGCTCAGCCTTTTTATAGTCTCAGCAGAGACCATTTGCTATTTCAGTTGATCCTAAAAAGCAGTGTATTCATCATGAAAAATCTGAGGAAAGCTCAAAGAATGAGAGCAGCAAACAGCATCTGTTACCACATAAAATCAGCTCGTATACAGTAAAGATATTGTTTACTTTCCAGATCTTCTTGAGACCTCTACACCAACTGGTAGGTGGATGTGGTTTCCTAACTGTAGGAATATCCATTGTTGATGGAAAATTCTAGGATCGCACAGAGCAGCAGTGGAAGCGTAATTGTATCTCAGTGACCCTCCATAATGCCAGAGAGGTGATTTCTTGCTAAGAAATAGTCTTTTTGTAATTTGCCAAGCTAGGAAGCTCTGTAGCTGGCCACTAATGCATTTCTTTGGGCAATGACTTTGTAATGTCTTTTTTTTTTTTTTAAGTAGGCTCCACACCCAGCATGGAGCCCAACACGAGGCTTGAACTTGTGACCCTGAGATCAAGACCTGATTTGAGATCAAGAGTCAGACGCCCAACCCACTGAACCCACCCAGGCGCCTCTGACTCTGTAATGTCTTATTGGCTCCCAGGGCACCTTTCTTGACTTGGGGCTGAAAATCACCTCAAACCAGGCCATCTTGTTGTGTTAGCTTCACAAAATGATCTCCAAAATAAAGGCTTGGGGCATTCCAATCAGACTTATATTTGCAATTTTACCCCCCAATTTTAAAAACTGTCAAGTGAGGTTTACCTGCTTGGCTTCTGGGCTGTCTCATTTCTTCAACCCCCCTCACTCATTCATTCATGAGTTGCCACTGTACCCTGACCTCTTGAAAGGCTACTGAAGAAATAAAAGGCATATGTTCTGGCCCCCCAAAGCTTACAGTCCAAGTGGCCAGTCAACATGCCTCTGAAGTGAAAAAAAAGGACAAATACATTTTTTAGGAAAGCAATAATGACAATGACAGGTGGGGGCTTCTTCCTTCACCTTGACGGTCTTCCTCGCCTTACCTTGCTCTGATGGGTTGAGATCCTAGTCTGGGTCCCAGAGCACTACCATTTCCAGGAGAATTCTTTCTGGCTAATGCTGGGGATATAGAAGTTGTTCTTTGAGGCACCTGAAAGAAAAACCAGAAATCAGAAATATTTTCCATAAAATAGCTCCCCTAGGCTCCTTCCTGAAAAGAGGCTATTCTTTTCCTAAAATTTACTAGGAGTCACAGAAACTATCAGAAACAGGAAAGATATGGTGTTCATTTTTCAAAGAAATCTTTAACTCCCGAAACAAAATCACACAAAAAACACTGAGGCACATTCAGCGATCATGAAGGAGAATGGTCTTCAATTTAAAAACAAATTAAAAAGCAGACCAAGCTAATTATTTGGATTCACCAGACTAAAATAGTTGCCCTCCTTTGCTTGTGTAAGAGTGGTGGATACCAGAAATTTCTTTGGGATACCATTAACTTAGTTGATCATTAGAAATTGCATCAGATGAGAGTCATCCAGATAAGCTGAGCTCCACCCCAGCTGATAAACAGATAAGGAAATGATGAAATCTGGTGAGAAATGAGGGTATCAGGCTAGAACTTGGGACATAAGCCACATGCCTGGGAGCTCAGAGAAACTACTTCAATGGACCCTAAGTGTTCCCACTTCCTAATCAACTTGTAGTCATTAATTAGAAACAACCCTCCCAAAGACTGTGCTTTGGAAGGTCAATTTGCAAATGTAACACAAAACAATATTAATATTGAAGATACCGGCAGGGTCTTCAAAAAGGCTATGTGCACACCATCAGGCACACAGTAGGAAAATATATCATTATTAGCTTATCTGACAAGAGCCTAAGGTGGAACTCAAGTATGCCTCACTTTTTTTTTTTTTAAGATTATTTATTTATTTTTAAAGATTTTATTTATTTATTTGACAGAGAGAGACACAGCGAGAGAGGGAACACAAGCAGGGGGAGTGGGAGAGGGAGAAGCAGGCTCCCCGCAGAGCAGGGAGCCCGATGCGGGACTCGATCCCAGGACCCTGGGATCATGACCTGAGCTGAAGGCAGTCGCTTAACCAACTGAGCCACCCAGGCGCCCTGCCTCACTTTTAATTATTAAACATTTTTAGTGAAATTTAATAATGAAAGTGTACTAAAGGGGTCCAACATGAGGGAAGAGAATGATATTTACTTTATAAAAGTGACCAGGAAATGGAAATGTGGATATCTCGTGAAAACTGGTTGGGTTAAACATTTGTCAGATGTTTCAATTTTCATTCATTTCTTGGGGCTCTTTTAAAGTGGGCTTGTATTTTGTACTAGATATTTAAAAAATGTGCTTTGCTGTAATATTATTGTTTAATATGTTACATGATATTTAACATTCATATAAGTTTTACTGGTTATTATAATACATTTTAAGATAAAGACCTAGAAAGATGAGTCCAGTGAAGAGAAGCAGAATGGCCCAATCAGGGTTCCCACCTGCTCAAATTAAATATTCCTTTTCTCCTTTTTCATTTTGTAAACTTAAATAGTTGTAGAGAAGAGTTTAACAAATTATTAAAACCTAAAATCTTTGCACGGATGTCAAATTTTCTCCTGGAGTTAGAAATGTATGCCTGCATGTTTTCAGAGAGTGGACCAATACTGTCCATTTTCAGTTTTCCCAGCTCTCATGCTGTTCCCCTGCCTGTCCTGTCTTCGACATTGAACTTTGCTCCCTAACAAACCTTTTCTGATGGCATCCTTGCTTCCACAAAAGGAGAGCACCAACAAAAAAAGTCGTAATCAGCTATATTCATTTCCAAAGTCATGGAAATCCTGCTATAATATCCTTTTGAGTGGAAAAGGAGGAAAAATATTTGAAAATCACTGGGTAAAAAGTATTCTTTTTTCCCTGGAGTCAACAATGGCACTGATCTCTGGAAATTGTGGGAGATTCCATTTGTCAAACCTCCTATGCTAAGTTCAAGAGAAAGGGGAATCTCGAGCCAGGAAGAATCTAATGCAAAAATTTCTCCAGTATTTTGAAATACTTCCAGGATGTCTGTAGTAAGATGCATGGCCACATTTCACGACAACTTTTGGAATGAGTAAAAATGGGTATAGGTAAAAAGCAAACAAATAAAAACAAACAAAAACCCCAAAGAAACCAACTCCAGGATTACTCTGTCCAGTGGATGGCTAGTCATTTCACCCTACAGTTTTATGCTCAGGAGTTAAATTATGACCTGGGCTAGAAGGAGCTTTCCTTAAACAGAGCCAATTTTAAGAGCAGTACTATCTTCTGAACACCTGCAATCCAGTCTCACTTTGTGTTATTAAAAGTAGGAATAAATCAATTTTCTATTTTTTATCTGCAAGTTTTCAATTTGTCTAGATGTAGTTTCAGTTGGTGATGAAAATATCCATTATTCCATTTCTCTCTCTCTTTTTTTAAAAGATTTTATTTATTCATTTGAGAGACAGAGACACAGAGAGAGCACAAGCAGGGGAGAAGCAGAGTGAGAGGGAGAAGCAGACTCCCTACTGAGCTGGGAGCCCAACATGGGGCTCCATCCCAGGACCTGGAGATTGAGACCTGAACCAAAGGCAGACTCTTAAACATCTGAGCCACCCAGGTGCCCCCCTCTTTTTTTTTTTGTTTTTTTTGTTTGTTTGTTTAAGCAACCTATATGCCCAATGTGGGGCTTGAACTCATGACCCTGAGATAAAGAGTCACATGCTCTATCAAGTGAACCAGCCAGGCACCCCCATTATTCTGTTTCTTAAAAGGTTTGGAATGCTTGAGGTTAAGAGTTCTAATTCTGGATACAGGATAAATGTTTCCAAGTCATTCAATCTACCTGAGCCTCCATTTGTTGGGAAAATGAAGGTCAGAAGTGATCGATGACAATCCAAGTCTTAGCTTGGGAATGAGGAGGAAAACAAACATGAGAAGGGGTGGTGCTTTGGCATTCTCATGTCCCTCATTACCATAAAGGGTCTGGAATAGAGATAATAATAATAATAAACAATGATGATGATGAGAGCGATGATGATAAAAGCATGCCAGCCTATTACCTTTGGTGGAATGTCTTCTTCTTGTCGTAACCAAGAGCTTCGGTCAAACTTCTCGATGCGAGTGGGGAGAGGAGGGTTTTCAGAGGTGGGATCCGAGTTCTGGCGCGGCATCTCAACGCGGTGAGAGGTCACGTTCAGAGCCTCCTGGAACCCAGAGAGGCCCTTGGTGGGCTGCTCGTGCACTGACTGGGAGGCGGTCAAGGCAGGTCCCTGGGATTTTACAGCTACCAGATGTGGAATCTAAACAGCAAACCAACATTAGAGCAACATTATTAGAATAAAAAACAGATCAGCCAGTACCTCATTCAGTGGGAGGGAAAATACCATTTTAGAGCAGAAGATAAGAACTAGAGGACACGGAGCCCATCATAGCTGTCTCCAACATGCCCTCAGAAGCTCTTCCAAATTTCCCATTTACAGCCATGTGTAGGGCTGACCCAGGGCGCCTGGCCAAAATTAACTGATTCACTCTGGACTGCTAAGAAGTCAGTGAAATAGGTGTGATGATAATAATAGCAATTTGCAGGGGACATTTACTGGTCAGCAGTATAATATATCTACAAGCACTCTTCTTCTAATATTATCAGCTTCCTCCTTCAAATCCCTTAACTTTGACTTTAGAGAGTGCCATTGCTCGTAAAACAAGAATTGCTCTGGCTATCTTACTTCTTATGAACTCACTACATCCACCATGAGGGGGATACAATCATTTTCACCCTTTTTCACGTGAAACTGGAAGGTCTAGAGAGGGTAACAACCTGGATCGCAGGGCTAATGCGTGCGGGAGCCCGGATTGGAACCATCACTCACCTCCTGGTCCATACACCTAACTCTACGCTCTTCTGTTTTCTGGTGAGCTGGCTCTTACCACCCATGATCTTACCTATCTCTCCACACCAGGATGGTTCTTTTAGAGGTGTAAGCCCCATAATTTGGCATGTGTTGATATTGTTCATGCAGGGAAGACATGCTGTCTTTGGGTAGAAATGTGGCTCTTTAAGACAGATCACCAAATCAAGAGTTCAGAGCGCTCTTGACCATTAACACTGCTCACGCTTTATTGTTACCGTCTCCTCCTCCATCACGAAGGTAAACTCCCTGAAGATGGAAGCCATGTCTGGCATGGGATCTCCCAGTCTACACTGTGCCTGGCCTGTGGAATGTGGTCAATAAATCTCGGCTGGGGAAACATCTAGAGTACTTTCTAAATTAAACTGTTAAGTCAATAAATGCTAATCTAATATCTGCTTTGTGCAAGGGACCTATCACACCCTCTTTGGTCTGAAATCTCAATGCCAGACCACTGGGGAGCATTTCTACGGCCCTCTTCCGCCAGCCTGGCCCTGTTCCTTTTGCCCTTGAGGTCTTATCCCTGGAGCAGCCCTGCCTTCGCTTCTTCAGACCCTCTTTGGTCTGAAATCTGAAATGTTATTAATTAGAGTTCAGAGAAAATCCTCAAGGTCTAGTTCAGGTGAATGTTATGCTTCAACCAGGAAAGAACTGTAACCAATCACATTTTTATTAATGTTAATTACCATGAATATAATAATAATATTAAAATAAAGCATATTTTAAAAATATAGCACAACACACAAACCTATTTTAAAAGAGTTTTCAAAGACATTTGGGTGAAACCAGTTGTACCATTACCTTTACTTTTCATAAAATTCCATACTTTCTTTCACATTCAGTGTTTACAATTTCAGAAGTCCTCTAAAACCTCCAGAAACTTGTCCTGGAGTGGAGTAACATTTTTCTTTTCTAAATAGCTTACAGCAGTGGCTCTCAAGTCCTAGAGTGCATCAGTGGTACCTGGAGGCCTTGCTAAACCGCAGACTGCCAGACACCCCCAGAGGTGCTGATCAGAGGTCTGAGGTGGACCAGAGAAACTGCATTTCTACCAACTTCCCGGGTGACTCTGATGCTAATGATCCAGTGACCACCCTCTGGAAACCACTGGCTTAGGAGACACAATTTTATCCAAGGTCATTTTATTTTTCTTGTTAAAGATCATGCCCAAATCCCAATGAACAAAAGATAATATAATAGTTTACATATGATAGATATCTATCTATATGAATATTAGCTTGACAATTATAACTAAAAGGATGCTTGTTGCTATTTTGCAGACACTCCCATGGGTCTCCGGAGAGGCCAGTTTATCGAGAAGTGAGCTTGCAGCTGGCTCAAAGTTAAGGAGAGTGCTTTTTTTCTTTCTCACCCCTTCCCCTCACTCTTCAGATCCAGTGGGCTCTCCTCCATGACTACAGATTCTGTATTAAGGGTCATTGTTGGATCGGCCCTACGTATGAATCCAAGTTACAATCCCCTATTCTTTTAGTGAGCTTAACTGTACAGCCTGTTGAAACGGCCGATGGAACAAAGGGGAGAATGTACCTGGGGATCAACTGGTCTGAGCATGGGGGGTGTCCGAGCAGGCTGAACTCCACTGATACTGAAGGACTCCGACCTCGGGGGCAGGTTGGGGTCAGATATTCTGTTGGCAACCTTGTGAGGCATGGCCGGCGAACTCTGCCGGTTGAGCCTTGACCGCTCTTCTACCTACAAGCCAAAAAAAGAAAGAAAGGTGCTTCAGTGGCTAGATGGATAGAAGCCGATTTACTGCCTCCTAAGGATTATCTGTAGTCACCTGCACAGCCATTTTTGTGTCCCTCTGATCAATTCAGTTTAAGGGGCCCAGACTCTCCATACCTGCTGTGCATCGAGAACTCTTGAAAAAGCTCTTTTCTGTCGGAGTAAACACTAGCTCAAAAAACGCAGAACACATTTTTCCCATCACCCTTCTGATCCCCAGATTCTTGTGCTATTTCAGTTAGCTGGGAATTTGGGACCTGCTTAAGAGTTTACCTTGCACTGATTGGATATCATCTTGCCGATCGGTCACAAAGCCATTGAGTCAGTGAGGGAGACGAGGGAATGGGGTGGGCATCGAGACCCCTCGGGAGGAAAGCAGAAAACTGCTCGGAGCTGACTCAGGGGCCAGGGGAAGGAAGACCACTCACCCTGAGTTTCCTCCCTACTGATAGGCAAGCGGCTGTTTCAGGCGCTTCCTTAATGAGCTGGCCTGTCTTCAGACATCCTATACTGTTTCTTTTCCCTTCTTTGGGACCCTTTCTTTTCACTTGTCTCCCTGCTCCCTAAAATACATCTTTCCATTTCCAGCCTGGACTCCACTGCCTCGCTCTCCCCACCTTCTCCCTCTTTGTCCCTGCGTGGCATTTCTTCTTGCTCCTTCCCCTCTTCTCTCCCCACCTCCAACCCTCTCTCTTCTGGGGCCACTTCATTGCCCTTGTCATCCCCTTTCTTGCTGAGTCTCTCTCAGCCCAAAGCAGGTAACTGATCAGAAGGGTTCCACAGGAAAGGCTCACGGTCCCAGGGAATGCCCTTTTTATGGGGAAGATTCCCCTCAGTTCATGCCTGCAGCAGACAGACGGTCACAGAAGCTATTTCCAAATGGAAATTTCAGTGAACAAGATGTACACTGCAAGGCATGATTTAAGATCTTTGACAACTTCAAGAGGTCTAGGACTTTTCTTTCAGATCCATCCCATCCTGTCCTTTATTTCTTTTGGGTCAATTTGGCAGCTGTATTTTCCAAACCTGCCAGGCAGCCCACCCACCCTGATGACTTTTCAGTGTGAGCCTGAACTCCCTTTGCTGATTCACTGATGAGGGTTCCAAGTGCCTGTCCCGGAAGCCACATGCAACTCAAGACATATCTGTATGGAACTCTTTATTCATTTCACTGCCTGATTTGAAATAAAAATTCAAAAGAGCTATTCTTTCCCATCCTTCCTATTTCATTTTGAGTCTTTCTAGAGGCAGACTCAGGGGTGCCTGGGTGGCTCAGTTGGTTAAGCGTCTGCCTTCGGCTCAGGTCATGATCCCAGGGTCCTGGGATCGAACCCCACATCAGGCTCCCTGCTTGGCAGGGAGTCTGCTTCTCCCTCTGCCTCTCCCCTTGGCTTGTGCTCTCTCTCTTTCAAATAAATAAAATCCTTTTTTTAAAACAAGAAAGATTAGAGGCAGACTCAGTCTCATATACAGAGTAAGTCTGTTTTTAAGCCCTCATACTAACTACAAACATTCTAACATAATAAGGTATGCTGCAGAATAGAAGACCGTCCCCCCACTTCTACTCAGGGGTAACTCAACATTTCCTCTCCCACCATGGCTGTGCAGGATACATACAATTGGCATCCCAGTTGACTTTGCTTTTGAGACTTCAGGTCCCAGAAGCTTAACACACACCAAATAAGGTTAGCTACCAAAAGCCAGATCTATAAACCAAAACATGTATACTTTGTGAATGCGTGTGGGCAAAGTATTACATCAGCAGGCATTATTTGGCTGTTGCACTGAGCAAAAGAAAAGAATAAAGCCAGTTTTGAGCTGAGACCAGAAAGAAGAGAAAGTCCCACCAAGACAGTGGCAGATCAACTGAGAGCAAGCCATGCAATGTATTGCTTTTCTAAATACTTTACTCCTTGAAAAGAAAGTGACTATTTCCAGACCACTGGAATTGGTCAAATATTAGCCATTTTCTTATTTCCACTGAAGATCATTAATAGCAAGATCACATGTACGAGCACCTCCGTCACCATCCAAACTCCCACAGTCTAAGCCCCTTGCTGTCTGAGCTAAGGAACCCAAGAGATTCAGGCACATTTTCAGATAAATTTTCAGATAAATTATTCATATAAATACCTGGCTATCCAAACCGTAGCCACCTGTTACCCAACAGTCAGGAGCCAAAGATATTCAGAGTGGAGACTACTTGCCATTATTATTTTTTAAAGCTATAAAATACACTCAGTTTTAAACACACACTTAGAGGCAGCACATTAAGGACAGCACTAGAAAAAGTCTGCCTTGAGGGGTGGAGTCAAAAACGACTCCATCTTGAGCAAAGAAACCATCTTTGAGATAAAGAATTCTTTTGGTAAGAGCCAGCAGCAAGCTTCCAATGAAGGAGGTATTCTTGCCACAGGCCGCACAGGCTCAAGAGCTGTCATGGGAAATGAACAGGGCAGAAAACTGAAGGGCTGACTTTCATAGGCAGTTAATGAGTTCAGTTAGTTGTGAATAACTATTACTAATGTACCTCTAGTATAAAGTTTCCTTTGCCTTCTATCAGCTGGTTTACATACTAAATCCTACCACTCGTATGTGTCCGGCTGTACCATTCTAAAATATGTGGTATAAATAATCTATTGTTATGCTTTGCAAATTATTTCAGGATGATTCAATTTGGTGAGATTTCCTGGGTTGGAGCTTGTCCAAAGTAGTCTGAAAATCTATGAGAAAGGTGTAATAATGAGCCATCTGGCTACATACTTTGTCTCAAGAGAAGCTTGTCCTAAAGTTTTTGGGAAGAGAATGCTGCCCACTGCTTTTGCACCAAAGGAACAGCATGAGGACTGCAGCAAAGATAGCAAATCAAACATCCTACTATAGACAGACAAAGGAGAAGCTGGGTGGTGTATCTAGCTCAGGCCCCTTCTGATTATTTTGATACTGGGTAAAGGCCTGTCTTCTGATTCACCTACATCTTATTCCTACTAACTGAAAAGGAGATGGATAAGTGAGTGAGACAAAAAAAAAAGAAAGTGGTTTTTTTTTTTCACCCAGAATAAGGATATATGTGATTAAACACTGGGGTACAATGACGATATGTGTCCATCTGTCTTGTGTGATACTAAAAATAAATCTATAAGCTGAGTCTCTGCTCCAACCCCCTGTTCCAAAGAGATGTCAAATGTCAGAAGTACCACCAAAAAAGAATGTTCTAGTAGCAACAAACACAGAGTGTCAAGGTGCCGGACCATGACAACAAAAGATATCTGTTATGAAGGATTTTATACTTGAAGGGATTATCAGTGAATATAGAGAATAAGATTAGGACAGACTGATCAATTTTAGTACAAAAGTAATTTTTTTTTCCTTATTAAAAGGATCATTTAACATCAAAACTAAAATTTGGAGAGGTTTAGATCACCTCTGCAGAAATGCTTTCCTATGTGTTGCCGCATTACAGGGAGAAAAAAGAAACATAATTGTGGTCTCAGAAATAAAATTCTGCTCCAGGCCTGGCTGTGTTGTCCATGGGGTTCTATAGAAGTGATGTCTAAGGCCTCTGAGACGCATAAAGGCTATATAAACACAGAAGACCTGAAAATAAATTTGTCGATTACAGGATTTCAAAAAATTTCTCAAAATAAATAAAAATGTGTTTAAACATGTATAAAAGGAAACATACCAATGTCAATTGTTAAATTACTTTGTACATTGACAGCAATTCATAGTGTACAATGTCTCACTTAGCAATAATGAATGATAGCTGCTGAGAGAAAAATTTCAAAACAAAATTATAGCAGTAATTTTTTAGATGTCGACAGCAAGAATGTATTTATGATGTCATATGGGTGCATTTTTATATTTTATATGATGCAGCATCCATGGGGTCTATGAAGGCCTAGAAGGCCTTACTTAAAAGCTTATTTATATATGGTGAATTAAACACAATCATATGGGAATTCCTTTTTTTTCCAGCCGAACAACTGATGCTTTTGTTTTTACTGGCAATACTGAAGAAAGAGAAAGAACTCAACCAATAACCTTTAAGTGCTCATTAGACACTTTAGGACCCTGCATCCACTGGTGACATAAAGAGTTGAGTCATATTGTTCTTTGGCAAGGCCACAGGAGCAGATGGTGACCGAGCAAGATTGAGGATATCCCCTCTCCTGAGGCACCTCTGAGAGCAGGGGACACTCTCATTCATGTGAAATGCTTAAAATGGAGCCTCATCTGAAGACAAGAGCCTGGACTACTTGTCCAATATCCACTCTTAACCAATGACTCCAGAGAATAGTATAGGTCTTCATGGGGATGGAGCATGTAACTTAAAAATAATAAGGCAAACCTTTCACAAGCTGAGATGGGACATGAAGAAGGGTGCGTGTATCAAGGGGAGACATGGGTCGGGGAGATGGGGCTGCATGTGGACTGCCCTTGTGAAATCTAAACCAGAAACAACAGAGGCAAAACACTTATTCCCTGTAGGTGACAGTAGCCTTGGAAACAAAATATTTGACTGTGTTGAAGACTAGATTTCATGTGTATCTGCACAGAGCCTCTTGTTTCAAAGGTATATTCACAGACACGATGGCCCAGGGGCATTCCCGAAAGGCAGGGAGTGCAGGTGGGGAAGCTGAGCCTCAGGAAGGCTCCGAGACTCGTCCCAGGTCACCCAGCCAGGAGGCGGAAGAACTTGAACTCAAACTCCTTACTACTTTCCAGGACTCTCTTATGCCAGATTGTAAGAGAGTGAAGCAGAAACTGAGGAAAGAAGGGGGCAGAGCTGTACACTAAGTGGTAATCTGGGACCTCATATATAAAATGACTCATATAAAAAGGGAAAAAAAACACACATCAGTGTAGAGTAGGGGAAACCAATTGGAGGAGTTCTTACATACAGGGATTTCAGAGTCCAGTGGGCTGATGAGATATAAAGAGACATCTTGGCCCATTGTTTGCCAAATAAAACCATGACCAGATGACTGGAATTCATCACAGAGTAATAACATGATGGAGTGTTAAAAAAAATTAAAATACAATCTCATACAGTATCCATGTAGAGAGAGCATTCTGTCACTGCTATGTGTTGATGAAAATTAAAAAAAATATGGGGGGGGCCACACGCAATTACTACCAGACCCAATCACATGCCATTTAAAGGAAAAGGAATCTGCCCCATTAGAAGCAAAAGGTAGTATAAGAAAAGGAATCTCCATCTTGCAAAAAGTGGTAATGAGAAAAATAAGATCTTCAAATTTTGCTCATGTTTAACAGAATATCATACTTACGTTTTTACAGAAACAAATCTGACTTCCATCCTAATCCAGAAATGGCTGAGAATTTGCAAGGGGTGAAAATGCCCCCACCCCTCCTTTTAATAGAGACATGAATGCTTCTCTCTGACTGAAATCTGAAAATCCCAGTCAATGTGACAATCAGGACAGATAGAATACTCTGTCTACAAAGAGAGGGAAGAGCTCGACAAGATTTGCAAATGACAGAGTATTTTCATTCCTTCTTATTACATCCAACAAATTAATGAGAAAGCTAACGTGAAATGCGATGATGACTATGTTTTACGAAATGAAGCAACAAAATCACCGAGGGTGAGGCACTGTAACCTTACACCAGCTAATGAAAAACTGTGGATTTGAAAAAACGAAGAGAAATAAGGGGATGAAAAAGTAACCAAAGAGGGACAAACCATCCTGGGGAGGAGGTAGAGAGCTGAGTTAGAAGACAAATATGGCACAAGTCACAGAGGCTGCTGGGGGAGGAGACGGCTGGGGGGTGTCTCAAGGGCATAGGGGGCAAAAAAGGTTTGGACCCTGCATCACAGAAGCCCGTGGTATGGGCACAGCTGCCCAATCCTCCCTGGCAAGGATAATTTCCATTTCATAGCCTGGTAGAGGAAGCATTTGAAAAAGAAAGGATACCTTTTATCTAATTCCTAAAGAGAGTTTGACTCAGGTTCTTTTTCTTGGCTGATAATTAAGATATGGCTGGGCTCAAAATTCTGTCTGTATCTAAAGTTTTGAAATGTATTTTGCCGTCTAGCTACTTTCAGCTCCATCTACCTCACTGCTATAGGGAAAGAAACCTTTAAATTGTGCTCGAGAAGTACATACATTGCTACGAGAAGCATTAAAAGGTCAAGAAGAGAAGGACCCTCACACCCGGTTTTGTTCCCATTTTAAGAAGTGGGTGTTAAGAAAATGATGAATCAAACCAAAGCAGACAATTATTTGTTCTTATTTGTACACGAGTCACTCCGATCCCAAATTTAGCACCGTCACTCATTCTGTGATCTAAATGTTTCATCTCTCTTCTAAAATATGAACACCCACTCTAAGACTGGGCAACTGCTTCATGAATAGATTGGTTAGTTGGAAGCCGGATTACGTTAACCACGCCCAGGAGGATAGGACTGAATATGAATCCCAAAAGAATGTTCCCACATATGTCTAGAATTGCATGAAGCCCAGAGAAGAGCACCAGCTGCTAGGAAGCCAGGGACCGTGGAAGATGTCACCCACCGGAGGTGGCCCAGCTGTATGATGGTCAGGGAACCTCACATCGGGAGTGCTTGCTGACTCAGCTGGGTTGTTTGCACGCCCAGCTGCTGTGTTTCTTTCACTGCTAGGAGCTTGGCCAGGAAGCACAGGGGAATTAGAAGGTCTAGGAAACCACCTCGCTGACATCTGCAAAGACTGGCCCCCAGGAATGCCATGGCTTCTGAGAGCTCGGGAACCGTGAACTAGTTCTGAACAGAGAGGATAGGCCAGGAAACTCAATGAGGAGGACAAAGAGTAATTAGGTAACAGTGGAGTCAAAGTGATTAAGTTCACATCAGAATGTGCTGGGTAGAGGTGGAAGGAAGGACGTGGGGACTGCTCCAGGCTTTGCCCCCTTTTCTGGTACATTTGTGCATGAGGGAGCTGCACAGGGGAAAGAAGGAATTCTGGGATGCTCTGCAAAGAATCACGGTCTTCTCCAATGAGCTCTGTAGGTGTCCCTCTCCTAAACTCATGCTTGGGGCTGGGAACACGGAGGGCCATGTGGTCATGCATCAAGAAGAGGTCATTTAGCGATGCAGCACTTCTTAGAGGCATTGAGGTACTTGGAGGGATGCATGCATTCATGCCCCTCCTGCCCCGAGGTCCACAGGAGTCTCTAAGGCCCTCCTTACTTGCAGTGATGGACAACTTGGGGCTTGTCACTTTGAAGATGTTGGGAGAGGACACACAAATGACCTTAGATCCTAACTCTTGAGTTGGACTACATCCTTGGGAGCGAGATCGCCTTGGGGATCTCACTGTGGTCCTTGAGGCTTCCTGAGCCTTCAGTTGTTCTTCAAGACCAACTCTAATAGGACAAGCGGGTCCACCTTTCTTCCGTGAGTGATGCTCCAGCAGGAGTCTTGATCTGGAATCATTAATTTCTGCAGGTGCTCCTGGCATTAGCTTAGCGGACCCTAGTTTTTCAGCCTTCTGAACACCTGCCATGATCAGGAGCTGTGAGTGTGGCTTAGCTGAGGGTTTCAACTTGGCAGGGCTAGAAAATGGGTTAGCAGTGGAGGAAGGTGGCACGTCTCTGCCAGCCAGGACGCATGTCAGCTGCTGTCTAACAGCAGAGTGATTCTGCTTAGTTGGAAGAACAGGTGGGTTATTAAAAGGTCGGTGTTGTACCTGGGAGTAGGACCACAAAACTGAGTTATTGATCTAAGAGAAAGAGGCAGCTGTTACAGACATAGGTAAATACAAGTCATCTTTATAGACTCTAAAGGAAAGTGATCAAAAACATTCTTTATGTGAAATCAAACAATTTTATCTACAGATTCAGTTTTTTAAGTTTTAAGAGAAAAAAGTTTGATTTTTGTAAAAATAGCACATGATCATTAGAAAAGATTTAAACAATATATAAGAATACAAAAAAGTTTAAAGAAAATACCCCGCAGTTTCTACTGCCCTTAAGCAATCATCGTTAACATTAGGGCAACATCATTTCAAGCATTTTCTATACGTACATAAAAGAGAATAAAAAAATATAAAAAGACAAAAACATTTTTGTAAAAATAGGACCTTATGTAAGAAATCTAGTTCTGGTAAGACTGTAGTCTAGATACTTGAAATGAGCTCTAGCTATAAATACCTGAAGATACAAGAACAAAATACAAAATAACACCAACATCCTCTTAAATGAGTAGCTCTGCTCACAAGAAAATAAAGGAAATCACTGGGTGCCACAAACAATGACAGAACAGAAAACCAGGCTGTTACGCACATGAGCTGACACAGTGACTCTTGGGAGGATGGTTAATCTTGGCTGATCTTATTTCCTTGCTTTGCCCATTTGCTTATCACCTTTTTTTCCTACCATCCAAATAGTTTTTAATTAGACTTTTAAAACAGCTCACCACAAAGCCAAGTTCTTGAAAACCCGTCCTCACTCTAGTAATTGAATTGCAAAAGAAACACAAATGACCTCTGATCCCAGAAGTGGTCACCACAACCACAGGTCTGGGACCAACCGGGCGTCCATTCGTACCATGACAACGGGGTGTCAGTGACAGTGCTAATGATCACTTTCAGGGTCCAGGTACAGACAGGAAAGGATTCAACTTAAAATTCCCTGAGTCTTTATTAAATCACATTCTTTCAGGGGAAAGTCACTAAAAATCCTCATGCCACAAACCCACTTGGACACCTATGGGAAAAATGATTTTCCTACTTCCTGCTATTGCTTACAAAAATCCCCTATATCCATGAAGCTTAAAAAAAAAAAAATCCCTGAAAAACAAAAACCACTAATGGATTAAGGTGCCTTGTCAATTCTCTAGGCAAATAACAATTATGGCTCTTCCAAAAGCAAAGCATGCACTTCTTACGATGAATTGTTTTCCAATTGTGTAGCACTAGTTTAATTCTCGGCTTCTCTTGGGTGAACTCACTAGAGCCACCAGCCTGGCCAACAGGACATGGCTACACTCGTTAGCGCACTTACCTCCTTGGCCCATGCTGGTTTCTCGCTAGGACTCATCCCTTCTTTGTAATGGTACAGTGGCTTCTTCTCCACAGGCCTCTGCTCCTGCCGCTGATGCTGGAGAGACACCAAGTAGTCTCTCTCTTGCTTTAGCTGTCTCTGTAGTCTTTCTGCTTGTCTCTGTTCTTCCAGTTGTTTGCGCTTATATTCCTACCCGGACCAGAAAAGAGAAGCAAAGAAAAGACCAAATCACCATATGGAAACCACTGGTCATCATCGGAGAAGCATGCAATGGAGCCGAAAGAGATGATAACAAGAAAAGCCAACAGAACCACAGAAGGATGTCAGGGCGTGCCACGGGGCCGGGGCTTAGCGTTTCCCAAAAACACTACTGCTTTAATGGCAATCCCTATAGAACACCACCCCTTGCAAGGTGACTTGTCCCTGACTGGGGACCAAGAAAGTAGCAATAATGAGGACATCTGGATGGTCAGCGCACAACCCCTGCAAGGAGCCATCCACTTCCTGGTTTAGTAATTCAACCACTCAGACATATCCAATTAAGTACAAAACTAAATAAGTAGCTACAGATATTGCTCAAATCATCTTTTGTTTCACAAAACTTGGACCAACAAAGACCATTAGCAAGCGTATGCACAGGCTAAAAAATATCATAGAAGTTCAGTTAAAAAAAATGTATCAAGCAGCTCATTTGGAGAGCAGGGCGATAATAATAAAAAAGTACTTCAAGAAGAAGCCACGTGAGCAAGCAGGGAACAGAAAATGTTCCCATCGTAAGGGTAAAGCTAATAGTCTACAAATGAAATATGACTGCAGAGCTGAGTGGGTTTTTACAGAAGAGGTGCATTTTGCTGTGATTGTATTCCAGCATGTTGCAAATGACCTTAAAAATTACTCTGCAGTAAACACAGTGGGTCTCGAAAACAGCCTGAACTTGTAGTAAGCCTGGATTCAGGCTAAAGTTTCACAAAGAGACGGAGTTACTAAAGAATGCATGACAAGGGTCTCCAACGTATTAAGATGGCCAACTAGGTCAGGAAATGTATTGGGTTTCCACGAGACTTTTGAGGTCCACGAGGCTTGGAGGGTCCCCCCCCGCCCCTCCCCCCCCGTGGACTGGCACGTTAGGCGCACACACACCGGGACACCGCGATGAACACAGAGCAGGTGGCTGGCCCTCGGCTTTCCCATTACCAGAAGTAGAGCTTGTTCATGCAGTAGCTGCTGCTGCAAGATCTCTAACTGTCTCTGCTCCTCCTCTAACTGTCGCCTGATGTACTCCTGGAGAGGTAAGCAGCAGAGCATTCAGAGGAACACAAAGAGAGAAAGAGAGAGAAAAAGAACCGGTAATTTCTTTTAGGTGACAAGAGCTGCCAAGTAAAGTGTGGAAGGAAGGAGGGAAAAAAAAAAAAACCCAGACACCTCCTCACCAAACAGGAAAAGAACCGAAGCAAAAGCACTTCAATGCAGTCAAAAGCACAAGTCCTGAACCTGCAACAGCCGACTGAGGGGGCTCAGTGCTTTGCTGTGACCGTTCGGTTTTAATAAACCCAGCTACATTTTCAAGCTTTTCACTGCAGTTTCCCTCTTTATGGGCGCCACCCCCTCCCCCCGGAATTAACAATGCTATCAAGTTCCGAGGCTCCTGTGCAAGCGCAGGAATAAAATAATTGTGGAACGCCCGCAGGCGCGGTCTTTGTAAGGGACCCGCCCTGCCACCACTGTGCTGTCAGATCGTGGTTCTAACAAAGACAGAGGGCCCTCCATCTCAGGCATGGAGACCAGAGACGGCATGAGCAGAAAAGCCTTCTGAAGCGATGAAAGAGGACCATGTGGCTCATTTATCAAGCTTCGGCGCTACCTTCAAAGTAGATCCCAGGGTTGGGAGAACCCAAGATCAAGGTTATGTCGGGGGACTTGGCCTGGGCAGGAAGCGAGGCTCAATGTAACAAGGGGGCATTGCCAAGGCTGTGTGTTTGACTTCTTGAATAGGTGAGAATAGCAGCTTGAGAAAGAGTAAAAACCTGCTTAAACTGAGCAGTCCTAAGAGAAGGTGACCCACACCCCAGGGACGGATGGACGGCTGGCGCTGGAGCTCCCGCTGGGGCCATCTGTGGGCTCTGGGCCCTGCTGTACCTGCTCGTGCTCTGCGCGCCGCCTCTCCTCCTCCCGGCGCATCTGCTCTTCGTAGTGCCGGCGCTGCTCTCTCTCCTGCTGCTTCCGCAGCTCCTTCTCTCGCCTTTGTTGCTGTGGGGCCACAAGCAGACAACCATGAGGGACACGGGCCTGGGGCGGAGCTGTGGGGAAAGCAGCAGCGAGGGCTGCAGATTCGCAGACATGCGCCCTTCTCCATAGCTGCCTCCGTGCCCAAAGGCTCTTTCTGTCCTGTGCTCTTGGGGACACTTGCTGGAGAGGATGGGGGGACAGAGAGCAATTCAGTGTCACGCAAATACCCTGTCATTTCCCATGCAAGTAGACTCCCCAGGTTTACTCCTCCTGGTTGCTGTTAAGTGCATTCTCCCTATTGGCTGATGGTGGTACTAATGACGTATCATCAAACTGTTTATATGAGAGTCTATGGGTTTTAAAACATTTCCAATGCTCATGTCATTCAGTCTTTTCGACACCACCTAAGGCAAACATTTCATAGAGAAGAGAAAGCAAAATCCATTGAAACTAAGTGACATATTTAAGGCCATACGGTAATTAACGGCCGAGAGTACAACAGAATTCATTGACTCCGACGCTGTCCATTACCCTACCTGATACATCACGCTGCCTTTCTTTGTTTTCTGGAGTAGTCACTCGTGAGTGTCAATTTCAACTTCTCATTCAAGTAAGACCCTTCAACTCATCATCATTAGCTCATACAATCACCATGCCCCCAACAGTGGAGAGTGTGGTCAGCACCTTTCATACTTTATCTTATTTAATCTTCACAAAAATCTGTTGATGCAGTTATTCTTATTATCCCCATTTTATATGAGAAAACTGAAGCACAGGGAGATTAAGCAATTGTTGAAGGTCATCTTCATGTTCAAGGTCATGCCCCAGTAAGTGGTGGAGCTCGATTTCAAAGCTAGGCAATGTAACTCCACAGTCTGAATTCAGTCATTACAGAAGATGAAGAAGCACCAGGAGTGATAGGAAGATCACAAATTAACCCAGCTCTTTATTATGCTCTCAGTAAAGGAGATCATCTTAGGAATAATGACAGGAGCCAATGTTTCTCAATGGGACAGTATTGTTCCCCAATCCCTGGAGCATTTGGAATGTGCAGGGGCATGGGGGAGTTTTTCTGGTGGTCTCTGGGACTAGAGGCCATGACTGGCACTTAGTATGAGGGGCCAGGGATGCTGAACATCGCATAATGCTCAGGACCGTCCCACATCACAAAGCGTTTTCCTATACCACAGGCCGTTAGCGCTCCTTTTGAGAAGCACCGCAGCCCTTGGTTTCGGCGCCCTGTGCTGGCATTAGGATTTCTTCTTCCTCAAATATGAGGTTTGGGGGAACCCATCAGGGGGGTCTATTCCCCTTTAACATTCTCAACAGCACTTCACTGCCTGGCTGAGAACCTATGAATTATCCAAAACAGCATGGATTGTGACCAGATCACACTGACAAGCTAGCTTTACGCAACCAGGGAAAGAGATTTCTAGGATAAAAGCTCTCTGTCACAGCCCCAGCTAAACCAAGCAGACATTCAAAACTCCAAAGAACCCACAAACAAGGAGGCCTTCCTAATGTGGCTCCCGCTTGCAATCCGCTGGTCCTGCTGTCTTCCAATGACCGCTGAGGCTTGGAGATAAGCTACAGTTTTTTGAGTCTCAACATCTATCCCTTCCAGATCAACAATTATTTGTCCTCCTTAGATTGTAGGCAACAGGAAGCCACTGGAGGACTTTCTGCAGTCAAGTGCCATGACCAGACTTGCATTTTCAAGGGGCCTCCTGACAACCACGGGAGGGGGCAAGACTGGAAGCCGAAGTGCAGGGCTAGGCCATTCTCGGGGTGCAGGCAGAAAATGACAGGGCACCGATGAGTGAAACAAAGGCAGTGGGAGAGTCCATGTTCATCATCGCTGCTGAAAATGGAGGCACAGCCAAAAGGAAGACAGACTAAAAGCTATCCAGATTTCCAGCTCTTCTAATGGGACTGGAGTGGACGCCAACTTAGAAGTAAAAATTAGAATTAGGCCAAAATCAAATAGGCAGGATTTGGGTACTATGGGTCTTGTGAGGGTGAGTGAAGTTCCTGGCCGAGGGGCAGAGCAGATGGTTTGAAACAGAGGAGGAAAAGCAGGTTTAGGGAAAGGAATGGGGGGTATAGTCAAGCTCCAGACGTGTAATTATTTATTTTACAGAAAAATAATACAGGAAGATATGGGTAGAAAACATCTTCAGAGGAACTGACTGAATAATTTGGATTACAGACCCAAAACAGAGATCTTTCCAACACTCAACCCAAGTGAATCAATGCTAGCACAGAGGATAAAATAATTATGTGTACAGATCTGGCTCCTGGCAGGAACTAGCCCTACTTTAATTAACATTTCAAGTTTTTTTACTCTCACCATCGGTCTCTTTCTTGACCGAAAAAAAAAAAAAATAAAAATAATAATCAAGGCTTTTGAAGTTTTAGCTGATTTTTATGTGAAGGATTTGTACATTTTCAACCCCTTTGCCGGGAATCAATACTGTTTTCTAATTACATGCCACTCAGGTCCTTGGGCAAGGTGTACACAGTATTGATTGCAACTCAGGAGGGTCTGTAGTTTCTGAGAAAGACACTCAGAAGTGACTAATAATTAATAATGATCTCACTCAGATCAGCTGCTGCTAACGCATGGCGGCATCTGCCAGGGCTTTGGCTCCTGTGGTGAGGTTGGAAAAATAAATCACTTCCCCAACATTCTGAGGGCACCTTGCCAATTTCCAGCTGCTGGGTTTCAATGTCAATGTCTTTCCTGGAAAAATCTTTGCTCTCTTTCCTCCTGGCCGTGGAGCTGTTTGAGGGGACATACCAAAACATGTCCAAGAAAGACCAAGCCCCCAACCTCAAGCAGACACCTCTACAAAGCTCTGATGATTCTTGCTAGAAGCAGCTCATTGAGGTAAAGCCTGTGCTTGATTCCCACTGAACCTGCAGCCCCCCATGTGGGGCTGGGAACCTGGCAGGGACATAGAAGATTTTTTTGAACTGAACCAAGTAAGAAACTTGGGGCAAAAGAAGACAACACAATATCTTACATTTCTTTGGAAGCATTTTCTGTCTTCTCAATCCTTAGAGTTTATATTACAGTGTGCCTTACATTATGGTTATCTGAGTATGTCTTCCCTACTCTACAATCTAGGTTGAAAGCTATTTGTGGGCAGGGTCTCTGTTCCACTCTACTTTTTCTCTCCCACTCAATCCCAGTAAATCCCTGATACCATTGATATTTGTTGTACTCAATACAGTCAACTGGGCAGCAAGAGAAGAGGAGAAAGGTTGGCAGGGCCTCAGACCACCCCTCCACCCTTCTATGCCTTTTTCAAATAACCCTTCTGGGCCTGAATGGTCTTTTATGCTGAACACAGACAAGGTTTGATAGTATTTTTCTAACCAGAGAGCCACCAATGACTGGCATTGGCATGGCACCTATTTGCCATCTTAAAGAAAGGGGGGGAAATAAAATAAGGGAATAAGAATCTAAGCATTTCTAGATTTCATTTAAATTATGCATGCAGATGACAGTGGTCCTGTTGTCAAAAAGGAATGGCTTAAACCAACTATCCTAAAACTTTTGGCCGATGCCCCACCTTTACCGAACTGCCTAGAAGTATGTTTTCATCTACATCTTCTTCACAAGTTGTATCACTTAGAATTAGATATTCAGTGGGTTCTTATAAGTTTCTTATATTTTTTTCCTGGTTGGGGGATGATAGATAATGCCCACTCTCAGAATTTTCCAGGCCTTGCTCTATTGAAACAGGTCACTGGGATCTTCTCCCCCTCTGTCTTCCGTGGATGTCCCCAAAGAATAATTTTGTTTAGGGCAGTTTTGGTTCTCCCCTTGGGTGTTCCCCTCAGGCTACCTCTAAGTGGAGACCATGTGGCTGTACTTCAAGTATGTGAACCGGTTAGTTTACCCAAATGAAATAATCCCGTTCCCTTGCTCGGGGGACCCTCAAAGGTTATACGTTTATCCCAAATGGATGATGCAGAATTTTGGCTCTTCAAATTCTCGCAGAATATCACCTTAACTCTTAAGTATTCAATTCTTCTTAAAGTTGTAACAAATAATCCTCATGGCTGATTGTCACAAAAGCCGTGGTGTTGCTCTTTCTTTCCTTTGGTTTCTCTCAACGTTCCTTTTAGATGAAGTCTAACCGGCAGAAAAGTCTTAGCTCCACTAGGGTGCTCTGGCTCTTGCAGAAGTGACTGACGAACTGTCAGGCCATGCGTTGCCCTTCACCACGTTATCGGGACAGTTGAATAGAGCCAAGCACTGTGTTTGTGGGAGGAACATCACCGCACACATTATTCACCTCATTACTCAACCACTACTAGGCCAGGGCACGGGCTCCCAGTTATCTCAGAATGTCTGCCTGAGTAACAAAGTTACTCGTATCCAGTGGACAACATGAATCTCAAGCCATTCGAGTTCGCCTCTTTTCTAAGTTGCTGGGGCCCTGAGAGTCAGACTGGTGGCCCCGTTCAGGCACCCGCCCTGGGCACCGTGTTGTGCAGGCGTTCTGTGAACTGACCCTGCCCTGGCTTTGTCTTGTTTTCCTCTTCTGCTTTAGAGTCCCTTCTCCTTAATTTTCCCTCTTTTTCAATTTTTAGTTGCTATGTTAATCTTTGTAAGCTACCTTATGTCCTCTTTTTGGAGTAAGGCAAAGTCACAAAGAAGTGTATACGCAAACAAATGAACAAACAAATCTTGGCTCTCCACAGATCTTGAAACCCTCCCTTGGAAAGATCAAAATGAGATAATCAAGAAATTGTTGGCTTGTAATTCGGTTCTTTGTTTAAGAAGGTGGCCCCTCTGTTGGTGTCACGAGCAAGTGGTTCAAGTTGTTTTTACGGCTGTGGGGGTCCATTTGCTCTGACCCCGCCACGCCCTCTCACTGAAGGGCTGTCTAGGTGAGCAACGATGACCCATGTAGAGCTGGCTGGGACCGAAAGGGAAAAAACACAGTCTCCTTTCTAACCTAAAAGATCATACCATGCACCCGAGCCAGTGTGGCCAAATGCAGCTT